GCGGGAGGAGGCGCGGCCCGGGGGGCGGGGCGGGGCGGGGCGGCGGGGAGGCGGGGCTCCGAGGCCCGGGGAAGCCCGGCCGGGCCGCAGTCGGGGGCGGTTGGCCCGGGAGGAGGGGCGGGGCCGGGCGGGGCCCGACCCTCTTTACCGTCTTTTGACTTTCTAGAGCAGGATGTGGGCCGGCCTGGTGACGTCATGGTGTCTCCCAGCCCCGCCCCTCGCCCTGGCCCTGGTCGGGAGGAGGAGGAGGAGGACCCGGGAGGGAGGGGGGACCCCAAGGGGGTTTCCTCCGCTCCGCGGAGAGGGAAGAGGAAATCATTGTGAAACTTGAAACTCATTAACTTTGAAAAATAACTTTAAAGAAGAGAGAGAGAGAGAAAGGGGGAGGGGTGTTGGTTTGGAGGGTCAGGGGGGGACGCGTTAGTAAGCTCTGAACTGAAACCACTTTTTTGGTGGCCGACGTTCTATTAAAAGCCCGAGGAAAGCCAAGGTTATTCCGGAGAGAGCCGGTGCTTCCCAGAGTCGAAGCAGCGGGGAGCGCAGTTAACCCCTCCTTGACTGCCTGACAGCTCAGGGACTAACCCGCCAGGGAACTTTGGACGTGGAGGAGGGGGCGCGGGGCGGAGCCACGCAGCGAGCTTCTGGAACTCTGGGGGAGAGAAATGGGAAGACAGACTAATTTATTACACACCAGAGTTTGACCCCGGCTGCTAGAAAGCGTTAGAGAAAGGGTACTGGAAACTTCTGGAAATATCAAGAGGGCTGAATTTGGGGGGCTGAAGCAGGTTCTGAAGGTTAGACATAAGGAAGGCTGTCGGTTTGAACTTGAAAAGTCTACACATCCGCTAAAAAGACAGCAGAAGCGACTGATTTAACGTCCACCTCAAAGTTGAAAAGAATAAGGTGTAAAAAAAAAAAAAAAGGACGCAAAGCAAAAATATTCTTTGCTAAACGACCATACGCCCACTAACAGCTGACCATCTGTGCAAATTTGTTTTGTTCCCTTTAGGCTTTCAAAAAGATGTTTAGGTCATTCTTGCTAACGGTTGACCCCTAAAATCCCCTGAGGAAGTCGTACCTCTAACTCACTGGAGCTAAGAAAAGCTCAAAGCCCTAGAATGGAAATGATTAAAAATGGAATACTCAGTAATGGCAAGCTTAGAGCCAAAAATAATGTTTTGCAAAGGGGAAAATATGCCTACCAAAAAATAAATTTGATCATAGGAGCAAAGATCATGCAGCCAGAAAGTTCGGAGAGTGGGTAACGTGCTATGTTTTCAGCCCTACAATGAAATAGTGCCATTTTAATTTTTCAGGAGGATAGCATCTATTTTATTACATGAAATACCCAATAGGTCGACAAAACATACAATGTGGCGCCCCTCCCCCAGTTGGGCTGTTTGAATCAAAAGCTCAACATGTAGACAGATATGAACGTATAGCTAATGTTCTGGAATAAAAATACATTCTTTATAAGTCGAGTTTTTGTTACTAGGAACGGGGGAGAAATGCTAAGGACCAGAGTGCATTTTTTTTTTTACTCGGTTGTTGCTGAACACAACAGAAATACATCCATGAACCCAGGATACAGCAGTGAACAGTGGAGCAAACTGCATATCTGGTTTTTACTTGCCATTTCACTGGGTTTTCATAGGCAGCAAACCGATATCAAAACTTCTTTCTGAGACAGATAATACAGAACACCTTCCTAGTTAAGTTTTCTGAATTTTTCTAAATGCGATTTCTTTCATAGCAGAATGCAGGGATGTGCAGCTGAATTGGGTGTAAGTAGCTTGTTTCGGTTTGTTTTGTGACACAGTACAGAACAGGTCCTCAGAATATAGCAAATAAAACGGAATTGCGTGAGCGAACCCGACAACCCCGTGAGTGTTAAACTTCAGCTTGAACTGTCAAAAATCCTGGAACAAAGGGGATCCGGGTGACGGTTCTGGACTAGGGGAGGCAGAGAGCTTCCAAGGGGCCCCTTTTCTCTCTATCTAGCGGGCCATGCAAATGTCTATGCTTAGCCCCTTGGGAGAAGTGGGGTCCCGTGGGGACTCTGGCCGCATTTCTCCGGCCGAGCAGCGAAGGGAGAGCACCGGTCCAACCCGTGGCCGCGGCAGCACCCGCGCGTCCCCCAACCCGGGTTCCCACGCGGCCGCCCAGCGCTGCCTGGCTCGGGCTCCCCCTTGGCGCGGCCCCGCGGCTCTGGTCCTCCGCCCCGTGCGGCCAGCAGCACCACCGCCACGCGGAGATCCCGGAGGTTCCTCCCGCTGGCCCCGGGTCACGCCGCCCGTCCCTCCCTCCGCCCTGTGCGCTGGGCTTTCCCGTCCACCGAGTCCCCTCCCCCCTCCCCTCCACCCCGGCAGCGACCTGGCCACAAACCCACAGGCTCCGAAGCAACTGTCCCCTAATACCGGGCTCTTCCCAAGCCGAGCAGACAAAAGAACCGAGGGGGGGAAACTTACCGAACTACAAGGCAAAAAGTCTGCTCCCAAGCTTCCTGGGTTCAACTTTTCATTTTAAAAACAACAAAAGCAGAAACCAAAAGCCTCCTAGGTTGGAAGTGGGCGTGAGAGGAAACGCTGGGGGAGGCGCTTGGTTGCTTTGCTGCGCTGCCCCCCCCTTTCTGGCCCCTACCCGGAGCTTTGATGTTATCTGGTGTACCGCCTACGTGGGTTATACCTTGAGCTCAGCGCCTGGTGACAGTCGGATATTCTCCTCTGTGGGTGCTGCTAGCAGCCAGCGCAGCAGGTGGCCAGAGGGCCGGAATCCCCCAGCTCTAACCCCTGCTGGGAAACGACCTTTGTCGGCTCCCTTCTGAGCTGAAGAAGGCTCCCCCAGCTAGTGATCTTGGTCTTGGAAATGTGCTACTTTTTCTGTTAGAATCAGAGAAGGAGGTCTCCTGGATTGCCTTCTTTTTCCTTCCACTCACAGTAATAAACTTGTAATAAGATCGTTTGTATGTTTCTCTGGGTTCTGTTCAGTTTTTAGATCTCGGCTTTGGAGGCTGATGTTATTTTCTGAGCTATTCCTGCAGCCTTGAAGAGACAAGAATACAACACCCGAGACGATAAACCATAACAACACACTACAGATTCCCTTATGGGTCAAAATACTTGCACATCCTCCCCCTTAGGTTAAGGAAAGCTTGTAACTCTTGGTTTTATTTTATGTATCCAGACACTAGCTCAACCTGGATATATATTTTATATTATGTTTACAGTCTCAGAATCATCGCTAAGAAAAGATGTTCTGAAAATCAGAATCAAAAACAGGTTAGTAATAGAGAAAAGGCAGTGTCTCCCATTCATTCTTCCCAGCACATACCCTTTATGACAGCACTATGCTGTGCTCAGGCCTTGCCCTCTGGGAGTTTACAAATTAATGGAGACAGCACAAACACATGGAAAAATACCTGGAGGGAGAAAAGATAGAAGCTGCAGCTTATAAACAGAGCCAATTAAAGTTACACCGAGTTATTTATGTGACTGTTGAGAGATCTTGAGGTGGAGGGAAGGTCTCTCCAGAAGTGTTCCAGGAGAGGGTGAGCCAGCAGAAGAGTTTTTAGGAAAAGTTCAGGATCTGCCGGTAAGACAAACAGTACTCAAGCCCAGGGAAGCAGCTGCCGAGAGAGAAAAGGAGAGAACCAGGAGATGCTGTTTCCTTTCTGCAGTGGAAAATCCAGGCGAGTGAGAAATGAGTGACACCCAGATTAGGACAGTATTGAAAGTGGGAGGGAAGCTCTTCACACTGGAACCCAGACGGAAGCTGTGCACCTGGGCTGTCCCCAGCAGAGGGACTGGTAGGTTTTCCTGATAGTATTTTTGAGGCAGTCAGAAGAAACTGGCGCCAAGCGGTTTCTTGAGAGCCAACCATTCATTGTTTGGAAGGAATTAAGACATGATACTGCAAGCAGTTGGTAGTCGTTTGGAGACATCTGGACAGAGAATGGTCTTTTTAAGCAGAGTTGTTATGGCTGGTGGATTTGGGATAGACGTGGGATCTGGCACAAAGACTGCAGATTGGTGGCGGCCAGTGTCCTCCTATTTCTCCTTCATCCCATTTCTAAAATATTCAATAATCTGCAGGGAGCTACGGAGTTAGTACATTGTAAGTTCATGACTGGGATCCAGAGAACATTCAGACTAAATGCTAAAGCATAAAGGCTGTGCTTGATGGAAAATAGACTGTAAACTCTTTATAATATCTGTGGAGCAGAAAAGGGGAAGAAGTCATTGTTTAGAAATGTAAAGGTATTCAAATTCTGAGAAATTGGTAGGTGATATCATTAAAGAGTAATTGTTGGGATATTTGAGGCTGACAGGAGTGGAGAGAAAATGTGTTTGGGTTTGAACATATCTAATTTTGAGACAGGTGATGCCCCTGGCATTTAATTCACACTGCTCTACTGGTCTCTAGCTCTGTTGGAAAGGTATGCCTGTTTCATGAATATTATTTGTTGTACTACCTGTTAGAGAGGCTGAAGGAAGGCTAGTTGTGATTGACAGAAATGCTGAGAGCAGTTCTCGGAATTCCAGTGTAAGTTGCATCCTAGGCAGCGCGCTGAAAGATACCACGAAGAAGGCTGGACATTGTTCTCTAAAACCAATTATGTAAGCACAAGTACAACAGTCTAAGACATGGCAGCAGTCTGCCCAGGCCAATGTAACAAAATACCATAAACCAGAGATCTTGGGCAGCATGCATTGATTCCCTGGAGGGTCTGGAGGGTAAAAATCCACAATTAAGTTTGCAGCAGACTCCTTTCTACTGAGGTCTGTCTTTCTGGCCTGCACATGGCTTCCTGCTCAGTGAGTCTCCCTGTGGCCTTTACTGAGTGGTGTGTATTCATGGAAGGGGAAAGCTAGGGAAACTAAGGCTCTGGTTCCCCTTCCTATGAGGACACTGCTGTGGATGGAAGAGGAAATGGCCCCAAAGGGTCAGCAGTTTGAGTACTTGGGCTTCCAGCTGGCAGCCGCTCTGTTCAGAGAGCCGTGCTGGTGGGCATGACTAAGGGCAGGCCCCAGGGCTTTTTTAGCAAAGCTGCTTTTCTTCTCTTGGCTCCTTGTCCTGAGAGCAGTAATAAGAAAAGGCACATCTCATCTACCATAGCCTCAGTGTCCTCCCCTCCAAGATGGATTACATCCTCAAACTAGGAGCTGAAGTAGCTCTAATCCCATGTTATGACCTCATCTTAACTCTAATTGCTACTGAAGTCCCTATTTCCAAGTACACCCTCCCTGGGGAGCAGGCTGCATGAACGAAGTAGAGGACACAGCCAGTCCTGTGGCCTGCAAGAATTCTGTTTTGGGGTTGTTTTGTTTTGTTTGAGATGGTGTCTCTCGCTATGTAGCCAGGCTTTCCTAGAACTCCAGACAGATATATACCTGCCTTCTGTCCTTTGAATGCTGGAATTAAAGATAGTTTTAATCCCTGCCATAGTGAGTTTTTTAAAGGGACCCTGAACAGGAAAGTTTGTGCCACTGAGGAAGGGTGTGTTTTTGTACTTGAGAAAAAGATAAGAGAGATTTCCTTCTAGACTTCAGTTTCCAGGAAGAATTACTGCTAATTCTGTTTGTTTGTTTGTTTGTTTGTTTTGAGATTGAATCTCTGTATAGTTCTGGCTGCCCTTGAACTCACTATATAGAGCCGGCTGGCTTCAGACTCACAGAGTCTCTTACCTTTGCCTCCTGAGCACTGGAATTAAAGGCGCGTGCCACCACGCCCAGTTTACTCTTGAAATAGTGCTGGGTACTCTACACCTTAACATTTCTAAGAAGAGTTGTCAAACACTCATGGAAATCCGTCTGTGTGCACAGGAATAATGATCTACATAAACCTGATTGCTGAATGATCAAAGTGTCTCAATATCCTAAACACATATAAGTTAAACCTCATCCTATCTAATGTCTGGCTACCTCCTCCCATACACAGACTCTGCCTTATCACTATATTAATTCCTTTTATAACATCTAACACTCTAAAATTATCTAGGTGGTTTCCATGCATATTATTTCTCAACCTTTAAATACACAGATCTTAGCTGGGTGGGGCAGTGCAAACCTTTAATCTCATCACTCAGGAGGCAGAGGCAGAGGCAGACAGAACTTTGTGAGTTGGATGCCAGCCTGGTCAACAGAGCTTGTTCCACATCTGGCAGGGCTACCTGGGGAAATTCTGCTTTAAAAAGAAAGAAAGAGAGAAAGAAAGAAAGAAAGAAAGAAAGAAAGAAAGAAAGAAAGAAAGAAAGGAAGGAAGGAAGGAAGGAAGGAAGGAAGGAAGGAAGGAAGGAAGGAAGGAGAAAGAGAGGGAGGAAGGGAGAGGGACAGAGAGAGAGAGAGAAATATAGGGTTTGGAATGAGTGCACCTGGCTTTGTTTACCATTGTTTCTGTTTCCCACCTAGAACAATGTGGAAGCAAACATTTGTGGAATGGAAGAATGGTGGAATCTGAATCCTGCTCATCTTTCATGTCAATGTAAATGAGCCCTTTTCTTACTTCATATATATATATATATATATATATATATAAACATCTTTCTAAACTTCCATTTTCTGGACTCAAAGTTACATAACACATCTACTCAGGTTACAGGGGAAGAAGCCTCTGGGATACAGAATGGCCCCAGAGACTGCACGGTGTCACCAGCAAACTATTGAAGGAGAAGGATAGAAGTGCTCTCAGATCATTTTCCAATTCCCAAGTCCTTTTCTTCATACTCTGCCCTGGTTCTGCTTGCTCATAATCTTCATTCATCATTTTAGAAATGGAAGTTCTCATCAACTGCAGTTTGATAAGAATTTAAACAGTGTAGTATTTTGTGTGAATGGAAGAGAAATGGTGGAAAGAGAAAGGAGGGAAGGAAGGAAATATTTCTCCATAAAAATTAGGAAAAAATACTGTGGAATGAGGCCAGATGACGGTGGCACATGCCTTTAGTCTCAGCAGAGGCAGACATATATCTGTGAGTTCAAGGCCAGCCTGGTCTACCAAATGACTTCCAGGACAGCCAGGACAACACAGAGAAACCCTGTCTTGAAATCCCTGCCCCTGGCCCCAAATTGGTAAAACAAAGATTTAAAGATGATTTCATAGGAAAAATGTTGTGTCAAGTGATAGCACCTAATTCAATGCACATGTCTTACTTTGCTCCTGCCCTAATTGTTGCATGAAAGAGGCTTAAAAAGCAAACACATTCTTAGTGAGGAATGTCGAGAGAATCTGAATACTTAAGAATGCTTGGTTTGCTGCTAGAATCTAAGTCCATTGGATAGACTCCCCATGTCTTTGGCCTTCCTTGAGATTGCTCTTTCCCTGAGCCTCTTACTCCAGCAGCTCCCAACTCTCAACAGATTGCTGCGTTCTAAGAACCTTTCCCACTTGCCTGCTCATTGCATCAGATTTTTGCAGCTGAATTGCTTTTGGCAAGCAACCATTCAGGCATCAATTTTTCCCTTTCCCTAAATTCTCCACTGCATTATTCGCTACTAGTATGACAATTTTTCTGTTTATAAAAGCCCATGGTTATGAATTTGTGATTTTGAGTTCATTGGCATCTTTGTAATTTTGTTGCCCCCCCCCCACCTCCACTGTGGCAATTCCTGTTCTGCCAAAACATTTTTGAGTATTAGTA